CAGCTCGTCATACGTTCAAAAGTTGCTCACTGGTCATGTTTAGTTAGTGTGTGTACATGTGCATGATGGTGGTGGGTGTGTGGCGTGTGGTGGGTGTTACTGAAGGTTGTCTGTAGGCGGGCTTGCCATGCGGTGTTCCTTCCCAGACCAGAGGCCAGAGGCAGAATGAAAGTTGGCGCCGAACTCTCGCAATAAATAGACAAAAAATCACGAGACCGGAAGCCGGAAACCGTTCGGAGAAATAAAGATCGGCACTATTTCTCCGAACGTTCGGAGAAATAGTCACTTCGAATACTTTAGATATTGCAAACAAAAAGTGCGAGTTGTCGTGCCTACCTGGTCAGCTACACCGTTCATTAATTAATATCATGTAGGCCTAGTAACTAGATCTAGTTACAAAATCGAAATCTATCGAGTTGGATCAACAAAGTTTTTAGGCATTATTATTGATGAAAGGTGTGATTGGCAAGATCATATTATAATTAGTTCTGTATATATAATTAAAGATAGGGCAAGCGGTATTTGCAATGCTGCGTTCTGAATAGCTCCCATGCTATTTGAAACGCCAGTAGGCCTACTAGAATCTAGATCTAAATGACGTAGTAGCCATCGTTTCTACATGATAATATTGTAGTTCTGCCTGAATTGTGGAAGCTTTATCAGTTTTTTGATAAACCAACCTCCTAGGATTTGACTCCTTTTTTATGATGTTGTCTTATTCCGATCAATATTGGGTAGATTTAGATATCTAATTGTTTCTGACATTGTTTGCACAAAAGTAGACTAGACGTAGTCTTGTTCATCTCTCATTATAATCACAATCTTTTGAGTTTGAGGAAGTAAATCGAAAGATGCTTGGATAACAATAACAAGACGGTGCAACTCGGTAAGCAGTATTTCCTGTCCGCAGTTTCGTCATACTAGATCTAGATCTATAGATATAAATAGATTCTAGACTACCTAAACATATTATATTTAAGTAAGGCCTAGGGAACGTTTTTTACAAGCTCTGTCTACGTTCGCTTGGCCAAAGTCTAATGTACATTCTTCACCACTAGATCTAGATCTACATTAAAAAAACTAGCCTACAAAGCAACAAGTTATAATTAGGGGGGAAATTTGTTGGTCAGTCGAGAAGAGGACCAAAAAAGAAAAAAAAAATTCCAGGACCGGGATGGAACCCACGCTCATAAAATAAAGACGCGCTGTCTCTTCGACCATCAGAACTTCCGTTAACGAAAGGTAGATTAAGCTTTATATAGCCTAGGTTACACTGCGTTTTATTTAGCACTGGCGCTAATCGCAACACAGCGTTTTATTTATTTAGCACTGGCGCTAATCGCAACACAGCGTTTTATTTATTTAGCACTGGCGCTAATCGCAACACAGCGTTTTATTTATTTAGCACTGGCGCTAATCGCAACACAGCGTTTTATTTAGCACTGGGGCTAATCGCTACTCGGCGTTTTATTTAGCACTGGGGCTAATCGCAACACAGCGTTTTATTTAGCACTGGGGCTAATCGCAACACAGCGTTTTATTTAGCACTGGCGCTAATCGCTACTCGGCGTTTTATTTAGCACTGGGGCTAATCGCTACTCGGCGTTTTATTTAGCAGTGGCGCTAATCGCAACTCGACGTTTTATTTAGCAGTGACGCTAATCGCTACTCGGCGTTGCAAATAGCACTTCCAAAAAATAAATAATTAGCTTCATGTAATAGAAATGTACGGCACTGCAATTTTGCTAGAAGCTACACCCTTTCTTTCAAACAAGAAAGCCTTATTTTTTAAGCCTTTACCAGACATTGTTTTTGACTTCTATGGAACTGTTTGGACAAAGATTTAATTCACTTCACAAAAAGCTTTATAGGCTGATCCTCCAAAATTCGACATCTATTTTGGAGATATATATATATATAATATATTAGGCAAAGTCATTTCGTCACACATGATTGGGGTGTGACGAGATGACTGTGTGACGAAATGACCGGTTACCAGCACCTCTACCAGTCAACAGCATCATCATTACTTCCACCACCACTACAGCATCATCATTACTTCCACCACCACTACAGCATCATCATTACTTCCACCACCACTACAGCATCATCATTGCTTCCTCCACCCCCACTACAGCATCATCATTACTTCCTCCACCCCCACTACAGCATCATCATTACTTCCACCACCACTACAGCATCATCATTACTTCCACCCCCACTACAGCATCATCATTACTTCCACCACCACTACAGCATCATCATTACTTCCACCACCACTACAGCATCATCATTACTCCCACCACCACTACAGCATCATCATTACTTCCACCACCACTACAGCATCAACATCATTAGGCCGACTTCCACCACCATTTGTCGTTCTAGTTTTTCTGTAATTAATTAGATATATATAGTTGTTTTTTTATGACATCGCGCGAAATCGGCAGCCGTGGCCTCTTCCCACCACATCTTCCCCCAGCAAGCCGAGAGTGGGCGATCTCCCCTGGCAAGGTCAACTCAAGTTGGTTGTTGTGGAGGCCTTCAAAGCCTAGTATTAGATGATTGATAGACTCAGTGTAGTAGTATTAGATGATTGATAGACTCAGTGTAGTAGTATTAGATGATTGATAGACTCAGTGTAGTAGTATTAGATGATTGATAGACTCAGTGTAGTAGTATTAGATGATTGATAGACTCAGTGTAGTAGTATTAGATGATTGATAGACTCAGTATAGGCCTAGTATTAGATGATTGATAGACTCAGTATAGGCCTAGTATTTGATGATTGATAGACTCAGTATAGGCCTAGTATTAGATGATTGATAGAAGTATAGGCCTAGTATTAGATGATTGATAGAAGTATAGGCCTAGTATTAGATGATTGATAGACTCAGTATAGGCCTAGTATTAGATGATTGATAGAAGTATAGGCCTAGTATTAGATGATTGATAGAAGTATAGGCCTAGTATTAGATGATTGATAGACTCAGTATAGTAGTATTAGATGATTGATAGAAGTATAGGCCTAGTATTAGATGATTGATAGACTCAGTATAGGCCTAGTATTAGATGATTGATAGAAGTATAGGCCTAGTATTAGATGATTGATAGAAGTATAGGCCTAGTATTAGATGATTGATACATTCCTAGAGCTAGCATTAGAAGATCTATAAATGACTGGTCAAGGCTTAATGATGCAGAGAGGGCCAGTAGATTTAGGCTACATCTAGTAACTGAGTGTCAGGAGGCTATAACTGTTGTCGGTACGTAACAGGAAGTCGGAAGTGAAGTCATGCTGGACTGGAGTCAGGGTCCAAATATAATTTTTCTTTGATCGACTCGAGTCCGAAATAGTCACTTTGTAAAACAATTTCACGGCTTTTGTGTGCTAAAATTGTCTCCAATCAAGCGTTTTTGAAAGAAAACGTCTAACCGATCTTTTTGCAAAACATCAAACTATAGTGACGTACAGAGGGGCATGCCCCCTGAACTTTGAAACCCCCCATTTTTTTAAATTTTTAGGTTTGGGGGTATGCTGACGGAAGCTGCGACCCCACTCCTGATAAAAAAAAAAAAACCATGCCAAAATGTTACTAGACGCAATGAGACCTCTGTCTATTGTAGCAGAGATAGACCTGAAAATGTAAACTTCAATTCAAATTTCTCAAAAACTAATTTTTTATGGCGAGGTAGGGGTACATAAAGTTGAAATTTGTGTGAAACAAACAAAAATGAACAAGGAGAGTGCTGTTGACTAATTTATTTTCACATTCATGTGTGTTCAGAAAGACAAATTATAGCGAGGGAACAAAAGAAGGATTTGATATTATGATATTGATAAGAAAGATATTTTTGAGAATCTCTGTGAAGTCTGTGTGGTTCTGCCCAACATCGCCAATGTCCCGGACTGACCAGACAACCATGTTTTTTTGCAAGGGACGAAACAATGAGGCAGCGTGGTGAACTCAGGCGCTCGTCAAGATATTGCTGCAATTGAAGAAACTGGCATTTTCCCACCGGTCGGGCAATCTTTATCTTTATCAAATTTATGTCTTTTTGGCTTCAACACCTTTTATGTCCATTTAAGAACAAATTTCTATGTTGATTTTTACTGAAAAACGTTGATTATCTATAGTCACAGAAAACATAAGGCCTAAAATTTTTAGTTTCCACTG